GTTTGTAGGTGTTCTAGTAAAGTATCTGTTGGGGAACGAAAACGGGAGTGTTTTGTCGGTCTTGTGAGGCAAAGGGGATTCAGTATGGTCCAGTTGTCAACCGAATTATATCGATGAATTTTAGTCTAATAAGAGAGCATTAAAGAACTCGTTGTATCGCCAACATAATAAAATACGTTCTGCTTGTGTTGAGGTAAATACATAGGTATTTTATTTCAATGCCCTTTTCCCTATATTTCTAATAGATTGATATGTATATTACTTAATAGGTATAACAGGTAGGATTTGTGGGTTTTTGGGAAAAATTATGAAATTCGAAAACCGGTTTTTTAGTAGAAAATGTCGGTTTTCAACGTATGAATAACGCTTTAAAAAAATTGAAAATGACAAATGTAGCCAAATGTAAAGATTCAGAGGTGTTCTGTGCAAATGTACCAGATTGATGAAAACACTGTTGCAAGCGGTTTGGTTCTTGGAATCATGTCAGTCCGATATGATTTCAAGAAGTGTTTTGTCTATTGGATGAATTAATTTAGATTTTATATCAGTTTTCTGTCTTCTGGTTTCTTTATGTACAGTTCATAAATTCAGTGTTCAGTGCAAATCGATATTTGATATAGATTATATTATACAAAATGTAAGTAGGTAACATATTTTAATATTATAAAAACATAAATTTGTATTTATATTTTTTCTATTTTTGTAGTCCTAACTGTCAGACGTGTAAAATTATTTCAAAAAAGTAGAAAAAGAAAAAGCCCGTTGTATTTATTGCAATAAAATGCTTATTTGCAAAGGATCAAGCACAAGCAGTCTACATAATTATTTGAACAGTCCACAATAAAATAACCGAGAAAAAATCATCTGATGCCGGCCCGAGTTCACAAACAAGTACACAGTATTCTTAACTTTGTGAAAAGGACTAGTTTAGAAGAAATTGTATCAAAGCTTGCTGCATTGGATGGACTATCTATTAATTGCATAACAAATAGCTCGTTCATACGAGAGCCATTGCAACAACGAAATTATTGCTTACCACAAAATAATTCTAGATTTATGAATCTTATTTATACTTGCGATGCTAAAACAATGTTAAAACTCGTTTCTGAGAAACTAAAAACTTAAACTTACAGTTTTAAAGTTCCGATAAAATTAGCACCCGGAGCTTTAGGTAGACAAGACTCAAATTTATTAACAAGTGAAGGTATATTTGAACTTGTTCTGGGTGAAGTACAAAATTTGAATCCGAAATTCGTCAGAAATTATAACACGCTATAAAGGCACGGATTAAAGAAAGAAGAGATACAGTATTAGTTACACTTATTCTTTATTTACAAAATTCTGAAACTGTTTTAACGAAATCTTCTAATAAATTCCTTCCATTAGCAACGAAAAGTGACATTATTAAGTTATCCGGACAAATACATATTATCAAGATTATATAAAGATTAGGTACTCTACAGGAGAAGAATGTGATATTCAAAAACGTGATGAAAGCGATATTCAAGAGCCAGACAATGTTTTATTGAAAAATGCTATGTAAGTGACAATTAATAAATATTTAAAGGAACCGGAAGAAGTGACTACCTCTACTCAAACTCTAAGAAAAGAGTTTTTGACCCTGGAAGGTACAAATAAAATGATAAAAAAATTAGAATTATTATATCAGGCTTTAAAATCGATTAAGCCTAGTTCGAATGCAAGTGAGAGGGTATTTTCTATTTCGGGGACGTTTGTGAATAAACTGACACGGCTAAATAGCAAATCGATAGACGTCCTCTGTTTTCTGAAATCATATTTCATTAAAGAAAAAAAATAATAGAATAATTAAATTTGTATTAAAATTGCCCGGAACAGAAAATACTCGGTCCTTTGCTTAATTGTCTTTAAAACTAAAATTGATTTTATTAAGTATGTATGTAGAAACTTTATTTACTGTTGTCTTTCGGCTTTAATTATAATTTACAATATAGAATAATACACAGTTACATATTTTCTAATTGTTTTTAATAAGTATCAATCTTTATCTAATAACATTGTTTTAAAAAAAAATAGTATGGTTATTATAAAAATATGAAAATATATTGTTTTTATTTATTCGAACCATTTGCTGAATAACTCGTTTCACTATTATAAAAATATTTACATCTTATATGTGAAAATTATGGATAAACAACGAATAATTATTTATAAACTTAAACCTGGTAAAATATTATTTCTTTGTTCTACTAAATCGCATAAAAAGATCAGTTCAAATTACAAAGTACTCTCAGTGAAAATGTTCCTGAAGGGTCCCTAAATTAAGCCAAAAACACTCACAAACTTTTGAAATTGTTGCAACAGTGAAACAGTGCTTTTGAGTTTCCAAAACCAAGAGAGTCTTTCAACCTTCAAAAGAGTGCTTCATTTGAAGTGATCTTTAAGGTAAGAATAGACAAAACTACAAATTTCGAGGACCTCAAACGACACCATCGCCAAAAGTTTGCCATATGGTGCGGACTTAAGTAGACACACTGTATATGTTAGAGTACTGCTTTACATCACCATATACAAGAGGAGCTGATGGTCAGTCTATCGGTACACACATAGAGTAAGTAAAAGTATTTTACTTTCTATATGGGTACACATTGGATTATAAAGCCGCATAATAGGTTTATCAATTCAACGGCCTATTATTTCATATTTACCAATTATAGGAACATTAACCTATCAAAAGCGAACATTTACTAAATAAATTCCATACCTTGGCATCAATTTTTTCGGGCTAAAATCTATGCAGTAGTTATTTAAACCCACACTGGCCCCGATTTCCATCATGGTAAATACGCAAAACATAACCTTTACTAGACACATTTTGTCATCGACTTCTAGGAAACAGCCTTGGAGTATATAAAATAATATATTTAACAGGCTAATTGATTCATAGGGTTTCTATATTGCACTGTTACACTAACACTATCGAAGAGCATAATGAAATGTTAATACATAGTGTTAACAGTTGACCCCCCAAATTATATTTCACTGTTTACATACCCGGCGTTAACCGGAACGTTAGATGGAGAAACGATAGCGATATCGCAACTTATGTAAAGTACAGATACGCGAAACCATTATAAATTTTGCTTGTAGGAGACCGGTAATGAAATATTGCGTTTATCTAGGAAAGAAATTTGCCGGGTTCAAACTGACTTTGGACTTGTCTCTGTTGTGTCTAAGGAGCAGAAACAAGTATACAATAGTCATAGTTGTCTGTTCAGGTACGGAACATTTTTACTCAATTTATGTATTTGTAGTAGGCAATCCGTTATACCATAAGATATGGTGTGCACAACTACTAGCAGACTATAATGAACATCTTGATTAGCTGTTAGCTTAAAACTGCTTATTCTCCATAGATAAAGACTGATGATATGTTATTCTCAGTAATCAGAAACTAATAACTATTAAGAATTCTTGTTATCCCTTGTCTCTGTCAGTAATCTCAGTCATAGATAAAGACAGGTATGATCTCGGTCCTTCCAATTTGTCTTTCGTGGACACTTGACACAACTTATACAGGGTGATTCAAAATTGTCGTCATTCCTCTGAGGGTGCTTTCATGTACACGAATAGTAATTCTTATCAATAACTAAAATATTTTCAAAAAACTAGATCAGAATGTCGACAACAATGTTTTTCAACGTAATCTGCCTCCCTGAGATTAAACAGAGGCATTTGTTTACGTTTTACGTACGTTTACGTTTTACGTAGCCGCACGAAAGTTACGAGCAATGGGGTCGTTGCACATTTTTTTTTTTCATAAAATTGATTATTGTCGGACAAATAAGGGCCATACAATTTTTTTTCACATTCTGTCTAGTAACAAATCTAACAGCAGTCAAAGTTTCAACTTACACAAAGCGCGCCGAAACGACGGGTTCTGGCTGATTGTAATGTGACGTAACGAAGCATGATTCTGCTCCGCCACATTCAGCGCTTATACGTGTTTCCATGCCCTAATGTGAATTTTGTGTGTTGGTTTGCTTGTTTCTCAATTATTTAAATTAATATGGTTTATAAGTACTGTATGGTGCCACAGTGTACAAGTACCACTACGTCTACACCAGGCAAAACATTTGTAAAAGTTCCAAATCAAAATTTATTCCTGGGTTTCAGTCATTTATTGTCTCTATCAATTAAAATACGTTTCGGTGTATTTTTCCACCATCATCAGTTTTTATGTGCCGCGTTGTTGCTGCTTTAAGCCTTGGCATATATTTTATCATAAAAACTAATGATGGTGGAAAAATACACCGAAACGTATTTTAATTGATAAATAGAGACAATAAATGACTGAAACCCAGGAATACATTTTGATTTGGAATTGAAACACAGTCAGAAAAGTATATACAAATTTGTAAAAGTGCCATTGAACGAAAAGAAACGGAAATTGTGGTTGAAAGCAGCGCGGTAAAACTGCAACGATCTTTCTGCAAAAAGTAACATTTATGCCTGTGAGGATCATTTCGATGTAAGTTCGCATAAATCAATACCTAATATTTATAGGGTTCTTAATCCTGTGTGTTCGTTAGATTTAGGTTTCGCCTTTGTTTGATTATGTGCATTTTATTTCACAGCTTGAAAAAGACATGGAAAACTTTATGGAGTGGAAAATGATAGGAGTTCAGAAAATAATGAAAAAAGATGTTGTTCCACATAAATTTCCGTGCCAAAGAGACATAAAACGAAGTGATGCTCCTGTACGAGCCGTAGTTTTGAAACGTATTAGACTTAACATTATAAATGACGCTTTAGACGCTTTAGATGCAAGCTTATACCTGGGTAAATACCTGGTAAATAAAGCTTTTTTTTATAATTCAGCTACTCAGAGATACTACAACATTGGACTTTGTAAATATTTATCTAGTTCTTCAAAAAAATTCGCCTTGAGAAAACTTTTGCTGAACTAGGTGATGATTTTGAATTTTCCGCAAGTACGAGTAGAATTTTTGCAAAATCCTTTCCATTAATTAGCGAGATGTTAAAGACTTTAATAGTCTGGATGTAACCTAATAAAGTTAAAAAAACGTGTACCTTTTCATGCACGCTTAGCTTGCTCCAATCTCCAATGCAATATAATGCAATAACTAGCGCAGGGTTGCCAGGTCCGAAAATCGAGTTTCGGTAGATAAGCTCGACACTTTTCGGTAGAAAATAGGTGTTTTTCAAAACTTGAATTTTTAAACTTACAGGAATACTACAATAAGCATGAGTCAGTAAAGAAGTAAAGATGAAATTGTGGTCGTTTTTAGCTTATTTCTCAACTTAGTTTTCATTAGATTAACCTGTGAAAATGTCCGTTCAACATTGGCTGATGAGTGAGGTAGAATAAGCAGGTTACAAATAAAATTGGTTAAACAGACAACAGACGTCATTCTGTGTCCAGCCTTGTAATTCACTATCAGTTATTAAATTTGGAAATATCATTGCAACATCAGAAATAGATAGTAGGGAACCTGATTTCACTATCGCAGGATCCATAAAACATAATTTTATCATATTTATGATCTATATAGTGGGCTTGATTCATTTTATGTTTGAAAAAGAACTCTAAAATACGAGGTGTGCTAAAATAAAATGTCTGCTATTACCAACGTACTTTGATCATGAATGGAAATATGTTATATTGTTTTAAGTAATCCACGGATAATTTTTAAAATTTTATTTGTTACTTTTCGGTAGAAATCTGCATGGTATCGGTAGATCGGTAGGTTCCTTGACAAATCGGTAGACCTGGCATCTCTGAACTAGCGTAGGATTTGTGCCACTCTACGTCACAGCCAGTAAAACAATGTTCTCGCGTGACGTCATTTTACAATCCTTTTTTTGATATAAAAATTTTTTTTTTAGAAATTTGCTTTAGGTATTCTTCTAAGCGACCCTTACGCTAAGCTTGGGAGATGCGTCAACCAAAAAAAAAATGTGCAACGACCCTTTAGATTAAATATCCGATTATAAAACGCCCTTTAGACAAAAAACATCGTTGCCCTTTTGACTTTTTACCAAAAAAATCTAGAAGAGTACTTTTTTTAACATTAAACATTTTCATAATTTGAAGTAAGAACCGTACTTTTTCTTTTCAAATTTCAGTGAAACATGGGACCATTTCAAAATAATACTTAGTAACAAAGTGGAAATTCGATTTTCAACTGTTAATATCTAAATTATGAAAAAAAAAATTTCAATATTTTTCTCGTAGGGACTCTCCAAGTGAGCCCGTAAAACTCCTTAAAAGCAATGTCGCAATTTGTGTCTATAGACTCGACACAAAAAAATATGTTAGGTAGGTACCTACCTAATGGTGTTCAAATCGTTATTTTCACATTTGCGTCGTTCGGTCCAGATTTCTTTTTTTTTTATGCCCTCGAGTTGAAAGTAACTATTGCCACACAGAAAAATTAGAAAGCCGAAAAACGCTCACTAATATCATAAATTAAGTGAGCTTAATGACTATAGTCCGCGGTAACTTCATTTGAGAACAAAAAAAAATTATAAGTCCCTTTGATCCCATTGCAAAAATCAGATCGGAGCAGTAAAGGAGAATGGAAGAAACTCTGTACTTATGAGCATCATGTATGTTAATACCGTTAATACCTATTGATTCAGTGTTTAAAAATAAGTTTGTAAACAACACCTTGTATATGAATAATGTATTTGATTAATATTCCCATATCACTTCTCTCGGCCCCCAGGCCTTAGAAATTGAAATGATGAATTGATTACATGTTTACATGTAATTAGATGTTTCGTGGCATAACTCGAATATACAACTATAAAAAGTAATATTTCTATAAACTCAGAGTGCAACTGGTTGCAAAGCAGTGTTTATTGACCTCACCAAATCCCACACTCAATAAGCAATTATAGGCCAATTTAAATTGATTAAAATGAAATAGTATGTAGTCTGTGTGAATTGATTTCTTTTACCTATATGCATAGAACAAGGCTTATATGACAGCACCATAGAACATAAAGAACAACAAGAAATAGTATGTAGTCTGAGCCATAGAACAAGGCTTACATAGATAAAGACAAGTGCGTGAAGGATTATGGCATGTAGTCTGTGGCTTATGGACAGCACACTAATAACCGTTCATGTTTATTTTCAGGGAGTTTCGAAAACAACTCATAGAGGGTGATTTAACATTGTTGCCATTTCCCCAAAGCTGTTGGTGGGGCTTATTTGGAGAATAGGAAAGTATTTTTTTATATTGTGCCACACTTTGAAGTACAAACACTAGTTTGCCAGTACTCCGTAAATACTCACTCTCCAGAGACAACACTTTCGGACAAAATGACGTTAATTTTGAATCACCTTGTATAATAACAGTAATCATTCAAGCAAACCCAGCTGCACTGAACGTGTTAATTGTCTTCATCTATGGTGTTAATGACGGCAAAACAATGTGAACATGTACGTCGCAGTAAGTGATTTTATTTTCATATAAATAAATGGAACATGTTAAAATGCATTTGAAAAAATTAATTAAAATTAAAATCGCTGAAAAACTGCCATATATCGTATGCTCTAGACAATAATATAGAGCCCTCCAGCTGTGGTGTGTTCTACTCCTGCAGAAAATCTGACACCACCGTAATATTTGTGAACTGATGGGCGACAATTTCAAAAAATCAATGTTAACATCTGACAAATAAATGTTTCAAGTCGAAGTGTAATTATGCAAATTTTAAGAAAGAATTGAAGTTCTAAGTTCTAACATTATTATTAAAAATGAAGATAACAACTAATCGATATACTGCCATACTAACATTACAAACATTCTTGCTGACAATAGACTGGATTATGAATATTGTGGGTCTTGTTGCCACACAAACCAATGCTTCGATGGTCACTCTACTAATGTAAGTATTTTCAATTAAACGGACCATAAAAGCTTATTTCTACAAAAAATAATGAAGGGTGCATTCAGTTGGGCAAAATTAAATCTGCAAATTTATTCACTATTGAAAATCTAATCAAATCAGTTAGATCAGAGAGAGTTAGTAGGTTAATAGTAAAAAAAATATATACGGGGTGAGTTTTTTTCGATGATTAGTACAAGGATCTTCAAAACAGCAGATATAAAGGTTAAATGGACAAATTATTGCAGTTTTCAATGCTCTACACAAAAACAATTGTATTTTTTCAAAATTTGAGCTGTCAAGAGATATTTCACAAAAACTCATTTATGGCAGATTTACTTTTATATCAATATTATTATGGCAGGAAAACTTTAAATAAAAAAGTTGTAGCGAATTGCTTTTCAAATAAACTGGCATAAGATATTTTTACAAATTAACTGTCATTTTTGACATGACATAAACCTGATGATTATTACATTTTTACATTTTTAATTTAGGTGATCGAAGTTATCCATGAAACCATCCATTTAATTATTCGGGGAATTAATTCTGTATGCCTTATATTATTTAACAATTGTTTCCATAATATCAAATAATAACCACATCTTTGCCTAAATTTTTTGACCCTCAAGTTTAAAGTCAAGTTCAGTGTATTTGGAAATCTTCCACTAAGATTTGATTAACTAAATTGAATCATATTTCCACCCCAGAATAAGGCATGGTGACAGTATACAAGAATCAAAGCATAAATGGTTGGAAAAAAATATGTTATATAAAATTTGCGTAGTCTTGACGTCACAACCGGATGCCATGACACCTAAAACCGTTTCAGCTTAGTTCAAAATCAAAAGATAAAAATGCGAAAATTTGACCCAACATTTAAATTTTGTTGCGAAAATAAAGTGTTTTGGAAATAGCAGACGTCTATCCACATTACAGAACGGAATTTCAAAATCTGGCATCATGCCTATTTTGGGAATGGGAGGCTTTTGTACAGACTTTGTCAGTTGTACTACAATAAAAATTCGATTCGATGCAAAGTTTCAGAATGTGCAAAATTATTATGTTGGCGAATTAATTATACATTCAGGAATACAAAACGCCACTGTTGTTTGTGCATCAAATTTTTGTGTGTCAAATTTGTGCATTGAAGGAACTTAATATTGTTTCTTCGTTTCAGCGTTCAAGATGCTTGTATCTTAGTAGCCCTATCCACACTCTTGCTTACTTTTTTTTCTACATATCTGTTCAAGGTATGTACAAGTGTCAATTTATGACTTTTTCTAATTCGAATGTTATTTATTTTAGAATGGGCTTGTATATTTATTGTATGAAAGATTTCGTACAAGTTTAGTAATATGTATGTTCTATTTTATTCTGACAACTGTTTTACACGTCTGGTCTATAGCAACAAAGTGGAGCACCTCGCGCTATAGTTGGACCACAGGCTATGTCGTCCTGTTAGTTTTACAAAGGCTCAGTAAGAAATTCCGTGTTTTAATTAACTCATTGATATAAACTTTCCCATGGATACATTTATTTCTGATATACATACAGGGTGATTTAAGTAGAACGTACATTAGAAGTTTTCTAACTTTGTTGTTTTCAAAATTTCAAATTTTGTTTCCGGTCATAACGGGTCGGCCGAATCCGCCCCTCTAGCTACAGGGTATAGGAAAACTATTACCTTACTTGCTCATTTTAAATGCAAACCCCTAATTTCTTTTGCACAGTTGTATTGGCGTTCCAATTGCGAGTTTGGGTAACCCTAGTTTAGTGTATATTTATTGATATATTGTTTAATACAAAATGCCATTACAGATGTTTTGCCCTACACAAGCTATATGTAAGGAACGGTTCTAAATTCAAAACCTAAATTTGGTAGGGAGTACCAACCAAATTTGGGATTTCAATTTAAAACCGTTCCTTATATATAGCTTGTGCCCTAAACATCTGTAATCACATTTTGTATTAAACAATATATCAGTAAATATACATATATCAAAAATTAAGTAAGTTAACAAAAATAGGGTTGCCGAAACTAGCAATTTTTAAGACCAAAACATTAGGATAATGAAAGTAAGATACTTCTTTAAACATTTAAAATAAGAAAGTTAGGTTATACTTTTCATACACCTTATACTGCTGGGGGGTTAACTGTACAAATTTTCGGCGGAAACAAAATTTGAAGCGTCTTAAACAACTGTAAGTTGAAAAACTTCTAATGCACGGTTCCACATTCACACATTTCCGAATATTTTGACTATCACAACGTTTTGCAGCCGCCACAATTTACTACTATTGTTACAAAAGGGCTTCCCTAAGAATCAGTGACCAACGATTTTACGAAGATATGGACTCAGGCCCCGCCGACACGATTGCTGATGTACGCCGACAAATAGGATAAATAGTACATAAAAAATTACTGAAATAAATGTAATGTATTTTCGACAGAATTACAAATCTTAAAATTTCAACAAAATCTATACACGTACAAAGTATCCTGTATTAAACAAATAATATACTCTACATTTAAAGTAATAAATATGTAAAAAGTTGCATTTGTATTACTTATATTTAAGTAAATATAAATAACACAGAGTAACATAGCTACAAGCTTAATAGCTCGTATACGCTTTCCCTCACACAGCGTGCGTTTGGAGAATTAATCAGAATCATCATTCAATAAAGCGAATTTATTGCTGCCTTGAAAGTTGGGAGCTTCCGGTTCTTGGATTTTGGGCATTTCTTTTTCTAGTCGATCTCTATAATGAATTTCAATTGTGTAATAAACAATGATTTCAAATAAACAAGTTCAAACTTACTTTTTCTCTTCGCGTTTTGATCCGTCTTGTTTCTCTGTACTCTTCTTTTCATCTGGTGACTTGCCATCACTTCTAGAATTTTTTGATTGCTGGCTTTCGTCGCTTGAAGCTTAAAATGAGATTATATATTAATTAGCCACAGACAAAATAATTAACCATAACTAATAGCAAGCGTTTGTTTGTTAATAATTCGTATACCGGTGAGATACACAAAAACACTTACATTTACTGTCTATCCTCTCTCTCGAAGGACGGGTTTGTTGTGACTGGGTAGAACTATATTGTGTATCGCCATTATCCGTATGGTTATGGTTGTCAGTTTCATATTTTCTGGTAATAGACCCTCCCCTTACAATCTAGAACAAAAATGTAGAGCGGTTAAACGCGAACAAATTCAATGCAAATAACAGAATCATTTGTTTTAACTCAGATTAGCTAAGTCAACAAATAACTTTCTGTAGAGGTGTCAGAAAATAATTTTTAATATGTCATCATAAAAACAAAAATGTTCCGTAATTGCGAATTGAGTATCCAGAAGAAAAAATACCTGTTTCCTATCACCACTACTGTCTCGGCTGCTCCTCTCCCTATCTCTGTCTCTGCTGCTCCTCTCCCTATCCCTACTTGATTCCCTCAACCTTTCCTCTTGTTCCCGCAAAAGCTTTTCTTCGATTTGTCGCTCACGCTCCGCCGTATCAACTGGCTTTGCATTGCCAAATATCGAAGCGGAAGGCACAGCCGGTTCAGGTTTAACAGCAGCTTGATCCAGAGGCTTGGTGCGAGGAGCCAGTTTTAGTTTTGGTCGCTGACGAGATTCAGCTAGAATAGACAAATACAATCAGTTCATCGGTTCCAAACACATCAAGATTAAGAAACATACAACTGGGAGGTACTTCGGAATCGCCTTCCTCTCTATTACTGCTTCTACTGAAGCTGCCGTTCCTTTCGTTATCATCATGTCGCCTAAATCCACTACCCCCCCTTCGATCGTCTCTTTCATCCCGATCAAATCTGCTACTTCTATCTGAGTCTCTAAAATTGCCCCTAGAAAAACCTGAAATAAAAGCATAAGATACAATTAAAACTGCTTGAAATTAAGAGCTTTTGAGTTTACCTCTTTCATTCGTATTGCTAGATCTATCACCGTCTCTCCACGCCCCAGGACGATCCGATTGCTCCCTATTTCTACTAAAACCTCCATCTCTTTCCCTTCCCATGTCTCGGTCCCTATTAAATCCCCCTTCTCGGTCTCTATTGAAACCACCATAGTCTCGATCCCTGCAAATTCAAGTTATATTAGTTGTTAAATAAATAACATCGGATAATTAAGAAATTTCACATTAGGGAAGGAAATTCAACATAAAAATTGATCACTCAAATTATGCATTTTTTGCTTACTTTGATCCGGCTTCTCGCATGCCTTCTCGTGTAAAACTACCACCGCTGCTTTCTCGGTCTCTATTGAAACCGCCGCCACTTTCGCGGTCTCGATTGAAGCCGCCCCGACGTTCTTCCATTGGTTCAGGTCGGTTACTTGAACGCCAGTCACCACCTGTATCAGCACTTCCCATTCGATCTCCCATGCGGTTTCCTCTACGTCCATTATCGGAATTAGTGGAAACTTCAATTCGTATTCTACGATTTTTAAGCATCTAAAAAAAAAACATTTCCCATGTGTACTCAAAGCACGTCACATACATCCGGAGTCTGTCCCAAGCCTTTTGGCAGCGACGCCATGATTTATTAGAATTTCAGTTTCAAATTCTTTCACATTCAGTGGTTGTAAGCGTGAGCTGTTTTTGCCAGAGATTATGTTTTGCTGAATCAGATCAGATGATGTTAAAGCACGATTTTAGAGAAGTTTTTCGTCCGGATGCATAGTGGATCGTATGCAATTCGCCGATAGCATCTGCCGGCATAGCGAAGGGCGCGTCGGCAGCGAACCAACGGCGCTATATGCAATTCTGCATCCAAAATATCTCAATTTCTCCAAAACACATGTAGCAACAACTTCTTAAAAGTATTTACTTGTCAAGTTGTCGGAGATGCTTAAGATCTATTATATATATATA